TACAACATTATACAATAGAAAATTGGCCCCTCTTTCAGAATTCGTTGATAGTTTTCTCTTACATTTCATTATATATTACCTATAACCAATAGAAAGTCAAGATTTTTATGTCCCAAATGACCTATTGTATAATGTTGTATTCTGAACAGAATATCGTCAATTTCACTCACAGTACAAGATTCGTTACAGTAGGAAAGTAAACGACTAGCTTGGATAAATAATAACGAAAATGAAATAAACATGATTGTATAAAATTAAGGAAGTGTGTATTAACAATAACATAAGTATGAGACGTGATGTATGGAAGAAAAAACAATATAGATAAACTAATGATTGATATACCAATAAGATGAACTACAAGTAATCCTAATATAACAAATACCATGGTAAGCCTAAGCGATTGGTATAGGAGAAAAGATACAACTAAGACTAACTGCTAACCTAAACTATGAGTATTAACCAATCTAATGAAACGTATTTTATGGAACCCAAATAACTACAGATAATAATATTAACAATACCATTATTCCAAAATCATAACAGTAGAACATCTTATCTTCCCAAAGTCAGTGGACTGTATTTAAAATATATGGGCCCCCAAACTTGAGGCGAGGCCTGATGAAAGTCAGTTCATTGGACGATCGATTTACTGAGGAAATAAAACCGGAAATCTTCCCGCGGACAACAACTTGAAGCCTGTGTAAATTTGGTAGTAGAACATATAACCTCTGAAGTGGTAGCATAGAATTCATTATGCAAAATGAATAACCAAACACAAATGTGTCAGCAGAAACAAATAAAAAGTTTTTATAATAAAGTAATAAGTTCCATAACCAGGTAGAAATATAAAATAATTCCACTTCAGAATAACTCAACAATTCACAAATATCAGTATTGTATAATAAGGAGTAAACTTATTGAGAGAAATTAACACAAAGATACAGAAAAAAATTAAAATGGAACACTTGAAGAGAGCAAAAACTAAATGTTACAACACGAGTACTGCCAAAACAAGAAGTGATAGTTTAGTAGAATTGAATAGAGGGAGTCACATGCGTCAAGAGAGTGTGTCGTGCTCTTATTGGTGGAAGGTTGTCACATGATAATTTGCATGTGAGATGCATTAGAATTAGTCATTCCAGATGGGTGGGAGTTTCAAGGCTTGTGTCATGCGCAAAATTTTGTTTTGCATATAGAGGGCAGCACTGAATGAGAATAGCTATTTATGAGAGAAGAGAATGTACTCTATCGGAAAGGAGTTTAAAAAGTTTGTTGTTGCTAAATGGTTAATGTAACACTGTAAAAGGTCATGACACTCCAGATGCATAGGGTTAACAACAGTTATAACCTACTATTCTACACAAAATATCAACTTTAATAATTTTTGTGAAGAAAAAGACAAATACAAACTTTCTCACAACAGTCAAGAAAGTGTGCTTAAATGGTATTCTCTATCAACTAGCATTCAGTAAATATAACATCTTTTAATGGAAGGTTTTAAGAGTAAAGACATGTTCTTTAAATTTACTAATTCTGGTTGTAACCAACTTTCTGGTATATACTTTTCTATATATGTTTTACAAGCAAACTTTACTTTTTTACAGTCCTCTAATGGCTCTGGTTCAGCAGTGCGTCTGAGGGCTTATAACACCAAAAGCTTTACCACAGCATTTGTGTGAACGAAAAAAAAAAAAGGTCCCTTCCATCGTACATCAGCTTTATGTTGCTATTACTTCTGATGAAATGGATTTTTGAAACTTAAGTTTATTTATTTCTTTGCAAAACACGAATGGATATTAGAAATATCTATCTTTTTCTGGGTTAATTATAAGTAGTAATAGTAATATTTAGTATTTTTGTGTAAAGCTACAAAAAAATCTATCTGTGCATATCCATTGGTAATTTTGCACTAATGGACTAGATAGAAGGTATCTAGTTAAATGCAGCTACCTCTAACTCTTGGGCTGCTCTTATCTGGTCATATAGTATAATTTGACTGTCACTCTTATAATGCACCCACAGCTTCACAGTGTGGGAAAATGTAATGTAAACCATTAACTTTGGATTCACAGTCTAGGCATACTAACCACTAAGCTGCACCTGGCCTTATGGGTTTATTAAATTCCAATTAAGACATTCTAAACCAAAAATACCACTAAGCCTGGAGATGTTATCCAACCCTTATTTTCTAGATTATAATAGATCAAACATAAGAACAGTTTAAGATCTGGTAAATGGACTTAATGGCTAGTAATTTTTGGATACCCGAAGATTTAAAAATATTCTGTTGAAAAATGAAAATAAAAAATTTAAGAAAATATATTTCAAGTACTCACATTTTTTTCTTCCTCAATTTTTCACGCTCTTTTTTTGTAGAATTGAAAGGAAAATATCCCAGAAGGAACTTCCACACTTCTTTCCGTAATGAATTTAATAAACCCTGAAATCAAAGACACACAAAGAACAATATGTAAGTCTAAGTACAAGTGTATCTAACAATCAATAATGACTCAAGTTTAAATTTTCTCAAGCATGTTTCTATATTCATTTTGCTAAATATGGTATTTTAAGGAAGTGATTCTTTCAACACTATAAAATTTTAAGTTTTAAAAATTTACTGGAATTCAGGCTTTGATACAATTGTGTGAAATAATGGTATAATAAAGTTACATATAAAAATAACAGTATATTTTACAATATCATAAAGAAAAATAACAGTTTCAAAATCTTTAATTCCTCTATTACAAAGGTATCTAACCAACATATATGATCTAAGTATGGATCTTGTGACTGTTGGAAGTAATACAGGCCTGTGAATTTAAACTTCATAAAAGTTGTTTTGGTTTTAATAATGGAGTTTCCATAATTCAGAAGAAAAAAAACTCACTTAAATCAAATTATTATTTCATTTACCACACTGAATATTTTTTATTATTACGTTTGTTAACAAAAATAAAAACAAACTGAAGAAAAGGGAAGAACACTGATGTCAAACGAATATACATCTTCATTAATCCTGATTTATTTTTGTGAAATCTACATCTTTTAGCCTCAGAACTATGTGTTGTGGTCTTTCTTTTATGTATTGCATTATGAAGTTTTGTGAAAAATCTGTATGTGATAGAGAAAAATGGATATCATTTTCAGATTCAGTGGACAGAAATTACTGTAGAACACCTAAAAAGTTCAAAACAATAAAACCATCGCAGGCCTGTGATGTCTGAAAAAATAACTGAATGATATATTTTTAATTATGATTATTATAAAATGCTATACCAAAATGTACCCACATAAACAATTAACAGCTACAGAAGTTGTAGTAAACAACAGGTTTTAACAAAAAAACTCTTGTATTATTTAAAATTTCCAGTGTAATTTTCCTAAGAACTTAAAGAAGTAATTAAAGATCTATAAAGTAATTTCAACGATCATACACTTATAATTTCTGGTGAATCAAGACTTTCTCAGGATATCTGTCACAAGTTTACGGATCCAAAATGTCTTTCATATTTACATATAACCAGTTGTCTATTAATTGCAATTGTTTTAAGCCTAGAAATAATAATATTATGATAACTTTTGCCCAACTTAGGCTGAAAAACAATATTCCCATAGCAATACTATTACATTTCTTAATTTTTTTGTTAACTAACTTTGTTCCCAAATAACAATTCATGATGTGATTGTTGAGCTTGAGAAAAAGTTATCTCTTACCTTATCTGAAAATATATTTCCAATGGATACCCACCCTCATACATCTGCTTGCGAGCATTGCATGACACTAGCCTTGAGCTAACTCCCACCTAAAAAATCAAGTGTTGAACATGAACTGTGCTAATGTATGATGACATAATCATGCAACAATAGTCCTCCACCAATAGGAGGGTGATACAACTTCCTTGAGCAGTAACTACCCTTAAGCACTTGAACTCGAGAGAACTTCATTCTTGAACAAGGTAAGAAAAAAATACTCTGGAAGTGATGAAGACAGGTAGGAAAGTGTGTAGAGGTACTACCAGAAATACATTTTCAGTGTAAGAAAATGTTAATTTCTGAGATGATACCTCACCTCCTTACACAGGAAAACTAGATTCCTGCATTGAAGTGATGGAGGAGCCTGTGCAAAAAATTAAACATAGATTACAAAGACACACCCATAGGAGACCAAAAAGAAACAAAGGGAAAGGAGAAATAACCCCAAGTGTCACAGGGATGGGAAGATTAGATCATGAAAAACTGAGGAGTTGCACACAAGTGGTTGGCAAGACAAGAAGTGTAGGGTAGTTAAGGCATGATCAGTTCATATAGTGTGTGCTCACTGAACTCAACTGGACAGGCTCTTGCTGCAGGGCAAGGGCACACTAGCTTTTTGAGGGGTGACGCGCACTGAACACAGTGTCACCACTGCCCTACTTCTCACAGGTGCAATACAGAATAATGAGGAACTTTCCAAGGTCCACCACCCCAGTGGATAGGATCTTGTAAGTAACAAGTGTCTCCTGTGCTCCAATGGAAGACCTGCCGGAAAGGTCTTTTACTGGAGGCAGTGCAATGGATGACTATAAGACTATAAATTTTTAAAAGTTGGCAAGCACAAGCCAAAGAAGTGGGCAAACACTTTCTTGGTGTTGGCTTTTTCCATGGTAGTCCATGGAATGGTATAGTATGGATGAGGCAAATGAGTAGTGTGAATACCATGAGGATACCTCTAGTGGTCTTGTGGATCACTCCATCTTAACACATGTCACTGGTATAGCAAGGGCAGATTGGTTGAGCACTTTCTGTTACCCTTTCACTTTCTGCTTGATGTAGGTTTTAAGAAATAAATATACCCTGGGAGGCAACATCAGTTACTTGGTGGGATCTGATAAAGGTGAAAAGGGTACTGAAAAAGAAAATATACTTACCCTTCTCAAAGACATTGTGTAGATTAATCCTCTAACTATGGTCTTGGCTGAATCTGTGACCCCAAATTAACCTTTATACTTGCCATATTATAACTTATAATATGTTATGTGTATCTTCATGAAATTTTGGAAGCTTTCATTAAGCATTAAGTTTTTCTAGACATAAAATCAGAATTCACTAAAAATTTCTCCATGAATATATGAATTCACCAAAAACTTCTCCATGAATATATGAAGTAAATGTGTTAACTGCTCTGAATGCAGAGTGATTTTCATGTTAAAATTAAAAATAGCTTTCTTCATCTGAAAAGTCTCAAATTTCATTTGTGTAACCTCTAAAACTTCCTAAGTAAATTTCAAACATTCTTTTCAGCAAAAATTTATATTTTATCTGATATTTTCTCTACTCTAACTCTATACGAAGTTGGTCTATTCGATCGAACTCACAGCCACCATAAAAAATATGAAATAAATCTAAATTATTATTTTTTCTTTCTAGAATGACTTCAAACTGTAACACGAAACAACAAGTGTTTATTCTAAATAGCTTTAAATTTGCCTTTTTTTTTTGCTGTTGACTATCTACTTTTTATACTAATGGCACTATTGCACTAAATGTTTTATGTAATTAAATAATGCCCCAAAGAACACAGAATAATACCATGCATAAAGCAGACAATGTTCCATAACTATCACAATTTTTCTGGCTTTCTAATTATGCAACATGAGCCATTAAAAATTTAGCTAAGCTCATTTATGTGTTTCTCATGGGAATAAAGTTTAAACTGGAAGCAAAATAAACAATTTACTGTATTAAAAACATCGTAATATAATACGTCATTTGACTTTCTGTTGGTGATAAATAATATAGCATTAAATAACAGAGAAGATGTGCATGGCAAGAGGGGTCTGATTTTCTATTTTATGGTTCTGTAACCAAATAAGATTGAAGCCTATAAAAATTGCCTGAGCAATGATAATATTATAATGAGTAATTTATGTTAACTTTCATACCACTTGGAGAAGTGGAAAATAAATTAGTGAATAGGGGATACCTAGAGAGCAAGTATGTCCCAATTCTTATAGTAGGGGAAATTGAGGACTTTTTTAAATATTGCTTTATAAAATTAAGAACTTAAAAACTTATGTAATATTTAAACTTGGATTATTAGCTTCGTTTGGATACCAAGTTTATTTGTATACCATAAAGAAATCCCAGAGAACATAATACAGCCAGATGGCGAAGATAATGAGTAGCAAATTTGTGGGGTCATCCATATGCCAGCTTGAAGGATCTTGTACAAAAATAAAAAAAGATGCAATAGTTTGAGACCGGTGATGAACTGGATGTGATGAAATGTGAAAAATCCTGCATGTGCAAACATCCAGGGGAAGAATACACCAATTAGAGGAGTTGATGGAGCCAACCAGTCAGGGTAGAAGGCAAAGAGGTTCCTGAATGAAGATAAGTCACAGGGCAGAAAAAACAACAATGGTTGTGCCAAGTAACACCAAATAGTACAGACTGGACAAAAGAGATGATCTGGGTCTAAATGAGCATAGAAGTGGGAAAAAGAAAGGAGAGAGAAAGGAAAGGCCCAGTCTGGGTAGAGGAGTAAAGAAGTACAGTGAAAGGGAGTGTGGGAAGCATAAATGGGATAGACACCCAAATGACAGCAACCACATGGAAGGAAAGAGACATGAAGCTAATGACTCAAACAAGGCACGTCTGAGAGCATGCAAAACCACATTAAGGTCCCAATCAAATATGGGGGTTGGTGAAGAAGGAAAGATCAGAACAAGTTGGAGAGGACAGAGGAATAAAACACCCCGTGGTAATAGGAAAAATGAAATGTAATGGACAAAGCCACCCAATAACCAGATATGGTGGAGTCTAACAATCCATTGTTGAACAACCATGTAAAAAAGGCCAAAAGGTGGGCCACAATAGGATGGCCTGCAGGAAGGGAGTGACAGATGGACCAATCTCAAAAAACTTGCCACTTTTGTTGACAGACTGACAAGATGAAGAATGATTGGAATAAGACAAGAAAAAGCTACACAGTTGGAGAAAGAAAAACAGGACAAATCCCAAAAAGGAAGATACCCCTGGGTGAAAAAAATAAATATGTGTGAGGATGAAGTAAAAGAGAGAGGGAACTGGTTGGGGTGCCTGGATGCCAATTGACTAAGGAGAAGAACCCAGGGTTGTGCAGGCCAACAAGAAGCCACCACCAGGAATCGACAAGGAGTGTTGCATATCAAGATGAAGACACGGGGAAGGAGACAAAAAGGAGGACAGACATACAGCAAAAAAATGAGAAACTGGGAAACCCGAAGAGTTGAAGCTTGGCATTGAAGAGCATGGTGAAGGCATCATTGAGGGGCTTTCCCAACTAAGAGAAAACCCAATGAAAAACCTAAGGGTGGAGAGACCACTCCATGTGTAAAATCTGGTCCAGTCAAGAGAAGTGATTCACTACCAGGTTCAGGGACCCCAGCACATGACAAGCTATGAGACGTACTCAGCAGA